GACGGCCGAGGCTACCGGGAAACCAAGGAAGACAGAGGGGACGGGGCGAGCCAAGAGCTTGTCCGCAGAGGTGTCATGGACAAGCGCAAGGCAGCCCCAGACACGAAAGGCTGACCCAACACTTAGGGACCCAGTCCAAAGACTGGTCGGTGAAGCCTCTGGCCGCAAGACGTACGACTGGAGGTTCAGCTGGTGAGCGGCGTAGCGAACCGCGTAGGGCCACAGAAAATGGGACGCACGGGCATGAATCATGGACGTGCGGGCGATGTCCACGACCAAGCCAATGTGGCGCTCAACAACCCCATTCTGCTGTGGGGAATCCGGCAGTGTCCAGACTATACGATACCCTGCTCGCCGCAGAATCCGGGAAGAATGCCTGAGTAAAACTCACCCCCACGGTCATAGTGAAGACAGGAGACACGACGGCCATCAGTGCCCTCAGTGGCTAGAAGCCACCGGATCAGCGTAGAAGTCACCAAGGACTTCTTCACGAGAGAAAACACCATGGTGTACCTGGAGAAGTCGTCGACGCCCACCAGAAAGCAACGCTCCCTCTCAGGAACCTCCGTAGGTGCATGGCCCCAGACATCCAAGTGGAGCGTCTGGAAGGGAGCAATGACTGAACGAAGCGAGGAGGAGTGCGGAGTGGCACGAAGACGGCCAGCGACGCAAGGAGTGCACGTGGGTGCAGGTGAGGGAGGGAGCGACGGGAAGACGCGAAGGAGACCTGAGACAAGACGGTGACTAGCCATAGTGCGGAGGCGGGGGATCGACGGGTGGCCAAGATGGTGGTGCCACAAGACGATCCGGTGGGTGAAAGACCGACACGAGCAAGACACAGCAACCTGACTTGACGCGACAAGCGGAGGGGACGTAGCTACCTGACTGGACTCGACAATTGGCAAAGGCGCAGGAACCTGGGGGGACGCAGCGACCTGAGGTGACGTGGACACCGAGGAGTGCACGGTGTGGAGGACGTAGAGACCGGAGCACGGCTCCTTGGTGAAAGTGGCCAGAACTCTGCCAATGACAGCGTCCGTACAGGCTGCAGTCCGCCCACCCCCCACAATGGTAACGGTGATCCCCCTGTCCTAGAGGTATCCAACACCCACCAAGTTCCGAGTGAACAAGGGGATGTGGAGGCCGCGCAGGACATCAGGGGAGACCACAGGGCGCGGGAGGGTGGTAGAGCTGCGTGCCATAGCTGGTCCTGAGGAAGGATCAACCAGGGCTACCGGTACAGGAGCAAGGAGCAGTGTGAGTGTCGTGTGGTCGCAGAAGAAGCACTGCGACGCGCCAGAGTCCAGCGTGAAAGACAGGGACGCCACAGCCTGTGGTGAACCCAGTGTGGAAGCTACACAAGCACCTAGAGCAAAAACACAAGCACCTAGACTAGAGAAGCACAAGTCTGCGCTAGTAAGAGACAAGCAAACTAATCTACGAACACACGAGCACACAGATCCATCAGCACTATAGTCAACATCAGCATACAAAGCATAGTGACGATTATCATCCATAGACAGATCAAAGATAGGAACCTTACAGGCTAACAGGGGAGCCCAGCGCGGAGTGGTCGCCTCAAGGGCCCAACGGGCACAGTAGAGGTCGTCAAGGCGGCGAAAACACCGCGCGGCAAAGTGGTCGTCGCGGCTGCAGTCACAGGGGCTGCCCGGTCCGGTGAGGCACCAGTGGTCACAGGGGCCGGTGTCACCGCGAGGGGGGCGAGGGGCCCAGCTGGAATTGCTGCTGCTGCTGCGGCCGGAGCTCCCTGGTCCTCCCGGACACCACTGCGGCGGGGGACCCCTGTGCTGCTGCGGACCCCACTACAGTGGGGGCCCTCAAGGCTGGAACTGCTGCGGTGCCTACTGCTGTTGATGTCCCTGCTGCTGCTGCTGTCTCTGCTGTGGCTGGTGCTACTGTGGCTGCTGCTGCTGAGGTCCGACACCCCCGTCGGTCTAAACACCGCCATGAGGCGGGCCTGTCTGTCTTGCACCTCCTCCAAGGCTCCCTCCTCCTGGGGCACCACCGCCGCCGCCGCCACACCACCGCTCCCAGCTCCACCGCCACCACCACCGCCACCTCCACCTCCCTTCCCGCCCTTCTTGCCACTCTTGCCACATTTCTACCAATCAGCGGCAGAAACGGCAGCAGTGCCCTCAGAAACCGACTCAGCAGCAGAAGCGCGAGTAGCAGTGAAAGTGGGAAGCTAAGGGGCGGCACACCCCGCAAAAAGACGGGGGGGCACTACGTCAGTGGCGGAGGCAATAGAGAGGAGGTTACTCTCGATCTTCCCGAGAGCGGTATCAATGAGATCGATAGTAATCTCAGTGGGGTGCTTCTGGAGAAGCACGTCGCGAGCAATGGCGAGGCGGTCAGGGAGGCGTGTGACAAACCAGTGCACAGTGAGCCACATGGGGGAGGAGCAACAAGAAGCTGGGCATCGGTGCAGGCCGCACGGAAACCGGCGTCAAGTGAACGCAGGTGAGTCACGAGGTTGGACACAGTCGCAAACGAGCCAAGGTCGGGAAATAGGAATGGCATGAGGAGGCAACTGAGGGAGGCAGAGGAAGGGGTGGAATGGCGTGGAACAACAGCATCCCAAATCCTCTGCGCAGTCTCCACCTGGGCAAAGTGGACGGCCTCAGTCGGTGGGAGGAGCTTCGTCAGCGCAAGGGCAGTGGCAGCGTCGCGAGAGTCCCACACGTCCCTCGCCAAGACACGACGATCGTAGTCCGCCTGCGCCGTAGGAGTCGGCTCCGGGTCGGTCGGGAGGGGGTCGGGAGACAGGGGCGCCTTGAAGGCACCAGACGCGTGGGCCCACAAGGTGGCGCCGTCCTGACGCTAACTGGTGAGATAGCGCGTGGCCCGGCGCCGCCAGGTACTAAACTCGACCGGGCGGCCCTCCGCATCGAAACGAAGGCGGCGGGACTCCATGCTGGAAGCTAGGCTAGAGGCGGCTGGAGCACGGAGGAGAAAAAACAGAGTCCTAGGGGTGCCAGTGGAGACCAAGGGAGATACCGGCCAAGGATGGAGCAGACTAAGCGAGGCGGGAAACTGGAGGCTAGGAGCTAGGCTAGAGACTAGTCTACATAGGGTCACCAGGGAGAGGAGCGGCTGCCAGCCGCTGAGCAGAAGACCAGTGACAGTAGGGGACGGTTCGGGCCCGGTGAACAGGGCGGTGGAGGGGTTAACCCTAAAATGACCACGGGCTTGGTGAGAGTTCGGGCCGGGCGGCGCAGGGCGAGGGCTAGTGCTAACGGAGGAAGGGGCATGGGCAGAGGGCGGGCTAGGAGCTGCCTGGGGCGCGGGCTGGTGCGTGGGCTAAGCGCGGGCTGGTGCGTGGGCTAGGCGCGGGCGAAGGGCAGGCCAGGCGTGGGTTAGGTGTGGGCTCGGGCTAGGCGCAGGCTGGTGCGCGGGCGTGCACTAAGGGAGGGTGCGGAGACGCGGAGGCGCGGAGGCGGAGGCGCGGATGCGCGAGGCGCGGAGGCGTGATGCGCGGAGGCGCGGAGGCACGAGGCGGAGGTGCGGATGCGCGAGCTAGGGCGCGGGCCTGGGCGACAGGCTAGGGCGTGGGCCTGGGCGACGAGCTAGGGCGCGGGCTGGGGCGACGGGCTAGGGCGTGGGCCTGGGCGACGGGCTAGGGGCGCAGGCTAGGGGCGCGGAGGGCGCTAGGCGCGGAGGTCCGCGACGGCGCGGGCTAGGGGCGCGGAGAGCGCTGACGCGCGGAGGAGGAGGGTGCGCTAAGGCGCGGAGAGGGCGCGGAGGGCATGGAGGCTAAGGCGCGGAGGGCGCGGAGGTGCGCTAGAGAGGGCGCGGAGGTGCGCTAGAGAGGGCGCGGGCTAGGAAGTAACGAGGAACTAACCTACTCGTGATACCATCTCAAAATAGGAATGCTTCGGAATGATGAGATTAGAAATGTGGGCGATACAAATAGCAAACCCTAACTGAGTTGTACTCACTAAGGAGCACCTCACTACAGCCTATCACAAATATCATCATTTGACATCGAGACCTTTGTTGATTACGAGTGGCATATTTTCTCTACCAAAATGTAGTGCACCAACTGTAGTGTACCAGATGCGTATTGTTAAAATATATATTGTGTAGCATGCCAACACATGTGACTGTACACCAATTGTGGTGTACAGTTGGGTTGGGACTACACCCAACTTTGGGTGTAGTCTTGCACTTTGGGGTGCCAATCCACCCAATTGTGGTGGAGCCCCCAAATACAACGCTCTTGACTTGTGGGTACCTCACTTCCCACAATTTAGGTTCCTTCAAGTCAAGTGGGCCTAAGGTTGCCTCACTTCTACAAAGTATGGGCAACCCAACCCACTTGACCTATGGTTCCCTCATCCCCCTTAGTGAGGTCAACCCAACCTATGGTCACTTTGATCCTTCCCTTCCATCCTTCCCTTCCAATCTTTCCTTCCAACCATGTATGCTAGGTTGCCCCTCTAATCTAATCACTTGTTCAATTCACAATCTTCACACGTATACACTAGCACAACATTTATAACGTGTAATGTATCTGTGAGACTGCATTGCTTGTTCAAGAGCATTTCATTCAGTCCCTCTGAAGTGTAGAATTTTGTTGGCTTCACAGTTGAAAGCCTGCACAACTAGTCAGAAACATGTGCTGAAGGTTCAGTTCACATGATTGTATAGTGCTTAGTTAAAGCCCAGCCCCCGAATTACAAAGAAGCCTTCACAAATTGGGGCCAGTTTGTGAAGCACTCCTGCTGGTTTCGGGATAGCAGGGTTTAGAGGAGGTTTCCGAACCTATTTTCACTGCTTTCCCAAACCTATTTTCCAGCGTTGACTTCCGTTGAGAAATTCGGGTTCTGCCCTTTAATTCACTTCAAGATCTATACACACAATAGCATGGCATGGCATACCATACAGAGTAAGAGAGTGGGTCAGCTGACTTGCTAACTTTAGGGAAAGGGGAGACAAGTGGCATGGGACACAATTCACAGCAAGCTAATGGGTCAGGCTCAGCTGCCTCGGTAGGTGGAGTAGGAGAAGGGGGAGAGCAGCAGCGGCACGTGAAAATGCTCCCTCTCTTGCTCTGGCAGCACTTGGAACACTATAGACACACTCGGGAAGAACCCACCACCATTGCCATTGCTAACTTGTGCGTTTCCAGCCACTCTTGTGCCATGCATTAGCCCAAGATACTCCCCAGTTGCAAAGCTCAGTCGATAAATCCCAGCCCCCACCCCTCCACCTGCAAGCAACCCAGCAGCCCTGCCATCCGCATTCGTCACCCCTTCTCCCACTCGCTCCCATCCCAACCGCACACCACCACTCTCACCACTCCCACCAGTTTCACTCTCGACCTCTTTGCTCCCCTTTCGGGCTTGTATCTGTTTCTCCAGCAGCACTTTGATGCCGGCAGCGGGTCTGCCTCGAGTCACGTCGAGCACATGCGTGGAGATGGACGGATGCTTGGCACTTGCAGTGGGTGTGACTGTAGTCGGTGGAGTTGTAGTTGGTACAGATGTGGTTGGAACACCTGGAGTGCGCACGGGGAAGCAGAAAAGAGGAGGGAATCAGGAGTAGAAGATTCTGGGTTGGATTTAGCTGTGGTTGAATAGCACAAGGCTGGCTCAGGAGGGAAGTTGCATTCACTTTGATGCCAGCAGCGGGTCTGCCTCTGCCCAGAGCCACATCCAGCACGTGCGTGGAGATGGATGGAGGCTTGGCGGTTGCACTGGGTGTGACTGTAGAAGGTGTGACTGCAGCGGGTGTGACTATAGCGGATGGTATTGTAGCGGGTACAGTTGTGGCAGGAACACCTGGGGTGAGCACAGGGATGCAGAAAGAAAAGGAGGGGAGTACGGAATCCAGGACAGGATGAAGAAGAACACAAGGTTGGGTCCGGGATGAGTGAAGTGAAGGTTTGCTCAAGCGGTTGCTACATTCATTGGAATGCCAGCAGCATGTTTGCACAGAGCTACGTCCAGCACGTGTGTAGGGGTGGACAGAGAGTTGATCAGGGGTTTTTTTATCAGTGTAATTTACTCTGTTTCTCTGAAAATCAGAGTGGTTTTTAGGGGGGCACTCTGTACCTGCTGGGTAATTTTTTTTAGAGTTACTTGTTCTCTGATCAGCGAGGGTTTTTGTGTAAGTTCACTCTGGAGCGCCAGTGTTCCTTTCTCGAATAGTGAGTTTACTCTGAACGGGGGATACATGTACCCCCCCCGACCCCCTAGGTCCCTCTTATCCCCACGATGCCGGTTTGGACCGGAGCGCAGGGGATATCAGTGTTGTTTCGCCCGTGTGTTGGCACAACCTGAGGTGCCGATTGGCCGGAATGGCATATTTCGTGCCAGCGCACTCAACTGGCCACCCAGTGGATACATCGCTGGCTTTGCTTACCCCATCAGCAATGAACAACTTCAACTTTTGGGCATGATACGTCAGCTTCCTGTGGTGCACTGAAAATGTGCGCGGCGCGCACATCCACACCGGTTGCTCGGCGGGCATACGGGGTCACCACCCAACCCCATCCTGTCTGAGCCATTATGTTTCTTCCACCCAGCACTTCTCTTCAACGTTCCAGTCTAGCGAGTGTTCCGAGGGCTTCTCCAGCCACAGACCCGCCTCCCTAACCTTTTTTTTTTGTCCGTCAATATCATGGATACTAGCGACGCCGAGGGAGACGCGGCTGATCCCGACGACAGGCCGACATGTAGCACACCCCCTGCGACAGGGCTTCAGTTTCTCCGCGCTGTGCATGCAGATAACGCTCGCGATGAGGAGGAGCTGGCCGATGGCGGTACCGAATGGATGCGCCGTCCTGGCAAGGAAAGTGGCGGCATGGAAGATGCATACGACGATTGGTGTCCTTCTCCGCGCCCGATGAATGGCGCTGCTGAGTTTGACGGTGTTGAGGAGTGGATCGCCTCGCCGCGAAACGAGGTTGCTGCAGAGCCAGCCGAACCGGTTGCAACGCAGGTCGTCGATGCGGCCACTCCTGAGTCATCCTGTTCAGACGCTTCGAAGAAGCGACGGTACACGCAGCAGGTTTTGCAGTGGGGAACACCGCCTCCGAAGCCCGACGCTCCACCTCCCCCTGCTGCCCCACCCCCCATTCTTCCCGGACGAGGAGAAGAAGGAGAAGGCGTACCTGAAGGCGCAGAAGAGCTACAAGTCTGATTGGCTACCGAAGTTTGACTAGCTGATTCTGGACAAGACGCCAGAGGGTGACCCGTGCCTGCGCTGCAGTGTCTGCATGGAGCACGGGAGGGACAACGCGCGTTACGGTCGCAATGGCGCTGGCGGTCGTGGTCTGCAGATCGGGTCGATGCGGTGGCACGAGAACAGCGCGAAGCACGAGGACGCCATGAAAAAGCAAGCAAACCTTCTGCAGAATATCGTGGACCAGAAGAAGATTGAAGACTTCGCGAATGGAGATCCGGAAGGCTGTCGCGTCGCGGTACTCATGCGCGCCATGCGTTTTGTGTGCCGTACCGACACACCCATCCACATGTACCCACAGGTTGTGCAGCTTCTCGCAGAGGAGGGGGTCGCCAACATTCCGCAACAAAGCTATGGAGTGTACATCACGCAGTAAGTTGCTGTTGACTGGTTTGTATTCGATGCAACCGTCTTTGTTTAACGAGGCTAATGCGTTGTGCTATGTGAATGCGCAGGTACGGTTTCTCCGAGATGGCCAAGGCTCTCACCGCATATCTGACCAGGGAGCAATTGCTGTGTACCTTACATTTCCGTACATAAAAAACGATGTGCTGCGCTTACTGTTTTGGCAGGATTCAAACTGCGGGCAGCCGAACTTGAGCTCAAAACTTTCTGCCACGTCATGAAGACGCACCATGAGGACGAGGACTTCTACCAGGCGCTGACGAACATGCTGAGGTCACGCGACTGGCGGCGAACTTACCCCAACATCATGACCCTGTGGCAGGCGTTGGCCGTCTTGCCACTCAGCACCGTCGAATATGAGCGTGGATTTTCACGACAGAACATCATCAAAAGCTGGCAGCGCACGGCTCTCAACGACATGCGGCTCACCGAACTCATGAGCATCCACATGCTCGATTACCACGTGGAGTGGCCAGATGTCGTGGACATCTGGCGCAAGCAGAATAAGAGGCGGCCTACAAAATCCCCTGCACCCTTCCAACCAGCCAATGGCGAGCCAGAGGCCAGTTCGGACGACGAACGAAAGGATGACGTGGCTTAAGATGAGAGAGCTTGTGGTAGTAGGTCATTGTGTACAAAGTTTAAAAAAATCAATAATTATGGCAATGCAACAGCAATAGCAAACAATGGGTAACCACCAGGGTTATAGATGAAAGTTATTCTGAAGAGGGTTTTTAAATTGACAGCACGTGTTACACTGACATTTAAGAGCAACGCTCGCCAGCCACTCTGGATTTAAGGGTTACGCCAAAAACGCCTCTGGAAACAAGAGTGCTCCAAAACCAAAAAAAAGCCCTGGAGTTGATGCTTGTCGCGATGTGTAATGCACTACTACCACACGCACACCTGGGCTGATGTGTGCTGTGACTCTAACCAAACGGTTGCAGGAAAGTAGTGGACAAATAGTCCAACGATTTTTTTTAAGGTTTTTTTTTTTTTTTTTTTGCAATCAATTGATTCAAACATGTGTCTCAACCATCAAAGGAAACACAGAAGCATGCACACACCTGGGGAGATGTGTGCTGCGACTCTAGCCAGACGGTAGGTTGCAGGGGAGGAGACTGGGCGGAGGAAGGTATACCGTATACTCCCGGACAAAACACCCCCCCCATAATTGTACACCCCCGGGTAGCTTGTGCGGGGTGGGTGTTATGATAGACCTCGTTTCTACTATACCCCCCTTTTTTGGCTGATTTTCTATAACACCCCCCTTTTATACGGATTCATTGTTTTAGTCGTTAACGAGTAGCTGCAATACGGAAGAATATCGTGTGAATTTCTCCCTCAATGAAATTTCGCGGTACATTCAAAGGCAATCTGCCGAGATTCGCCCCCTCCCACTATTTCTCTGTTGCCACGTGCAGGTGAATCTTCCGTTGCAAATGGCAAGAGAGGTGTCACATGGCATTTTCGTGAAGGCGATGAAGTTCGAGGCCGAAACTGACATTCGCGCCTCAGGCAGTGATGCTAAAACGACCAGCAAAACACCCACATTGACTAATTAAAAAAACACTAACACTAAAATATGCCATATGTAAAGACCCGGGTATTATGTATTTTTTTCCTATGAGGAGACCACCCCCATTTTTTCCCTGTATTTTTAGCTATACCCTAGGGTGTTATGTCCGGGAGAATACGGTATCCACACGGAGAATGCATGGTCGGTAGAGGTAGGGAAAGAGAGGAGCGGAGAAGACTTTACTAAGAAAATAGCAGTGAGTTGGGGTATAAGGTAATCTTATAGAGGGTGATGGGGTTGGAAAGTACATCGGTAGGACAGCACTAAACGAAGTAGAAGGTTACAGAACTACACCTGTGGAATTATCGCCATTGGTGGGGGCGTCCAGCAACAGCTTCTCCAGCCTCAGCTGGGTGATCTTCTCTTACTCCTTTCGCTGCCAGCTGCACCTCGTAGATTGGCTGATTCTCCAATCGCTCCTGTTACAGGAAAAACATTCCCCGTTTTTGTTTGCTGAAGTTTGCTGAAAAAAAAAAAGGAGCAAGAATCGCACTCCGACACTTTCAAATGTAAGCACGCTACGAGTCAATCAGGCCCCAAATTTCAAGGGTAAAATACCCTTTTTGCCCTGATGGTAGGCCACTTTTTGGCAGTTACCCTTATGAAATCAGGCTATGCAATTTTTTACCCTAGTGAAATCAGGATACTGAGAAAAGTACTCTTGTAACAAATTTAGTTACACTGGCTGTATCAGGGTACGGGCTCAACTACACTTTTACCAGATCTTTTTCTAACTGAGTATTCCGCCACAGTACGCGCAGAGACAAATTTCACCACGGACCCACTGGAGCATTTGTACGGTATGCCCACTAGCGCGCCAACGTAGAAGCAGTGCGGCTGCACGCGCACGTCTATGATTGGTCCGTTGAGCAACATCCAAGCAACGTAGGGCGTTCCCGAAGCATCGCTCACTGCCAAGGGTGCCAAAATGCGCGAGAAGTGGGTTTCGTGCTGTCGTTTGCACCACATGGCAGTGATTGTGTTGTTGCAGCCTCTGCCATGCACTTCCCGCAGTGCGCGGAAACCGTGCTACTTGGGCCTTCTTGGGCTGTGATTCCCAAGGAGTCTCTCAGCCTCTCGCCATTCTCTCACCTTTCTCACGTTCGTCGTTCGACTGTTCTCACCTTTCTAAGTATTTGCTTATGCATCAGTGTACCGGAAAACATACCCTGCTGAAATCAGTGTACCCAAATTTTTACACTGCTGTAAACAGTGTACCACGAAAATTACCCTAACAGTCAGGGTACGGAGGGCCTGCCACCCTGATTTGAAAGAGTGAGCCTAAACCTATTTTGGGCCCTGGAGTCAATCACCTTTAGAGCAGAGAGTATCTCTGCTGGAGGCTTTCCCTGAGCACAAATGATAAAGATGTGCCCAAAGCGCTGCTCATGCCGGCGATTGCACTCCGTCATCTCCTGACATGGGGCAGCAGAAAGGCAGGCAGGTGGACGGCCAGGCACACGGACATATATATATATATATATATATATACAAATATTTACAAGGGAATTATGTGTGCGGCACAGATTATGTGACTCAAGTGAAGCACGCCTTACAATGCTTACCTTGGTGTGAAATGAGGCTGCTTGCATGGAGACAACAAGAACAAAACAAACAAAACTCTAGGCTGGAACAAGATGTGCTTGCCTGAAAGGATGAGTTGCCAAAATCCTGGAAGGGAATTGTGCTTGGCGCACATTCAAACTACCTTAGGCGAATCGCACTTCTAAACGCTTTCTTTGCTCCGGATTCTATAAGTTAATGAGATGTGCTTGCCTGGAAGAATGAGTCGTTTGATGATTGCAACGCTGCTGCTTGCTTCGAGCAACCTCAGAAATGTAAAAACAAAAAAGGCACTTGCTTTTGACTACTATTAACTTGCCTCGAAGAATGTGTCGTAAGATGATTGCAGCGCCGCTGCCTGCTTCGAGGCGCCTCAAAAATGTTGGAGGCACCTCAGAGAGCGGACTTGGTTGTGACTACCATGGAACTTGCCTCGAAGGAATGAATCGGCATATCATTGTAGGACTGCTGCTTGCTCTCCTTGGGACCATCTGGGGCCATAGCAATGACATGTCACATGTGCATGCACACAAGTTTAAGCAATATGGAAGTGCATGCGAACACACGCGAACACATGCGGATGCATGCGAAGACATGCGAATGCTTGCGATACGGCATGACTACATGTAAAGGCACCAAGATGCAAACACAGCAATGCTCATGCACAGTATCCCCCATGATTATGAGCAGATATCACTACCATCCAAGCCAACAACGCTTGATAACCAAAGCATCACATATCTTCGTTACTACCACACGCCGTTACTCTCACACCGCACTCACTGCTGTGTGGCGAACTTTCTTTTTGAGCGATGCCACGTCACCAATCCTGGGATGAGCACTGAAGGCCTCCAGCCAACCAGAGATGTCCACTTGGAACAGGATACAACTCATTAGGGCACATATAACTACGTAGTTACCCAGGAATGACCTATTTCGTATTTAGGCATCATGGGATAGGTGTGTCGCGTTCAAGAATACTACAGATTCGTTACTATGGGTCATAGAATAGCAAAGACGACATAAATCCTGTTAATCCTTGTTACAGCCAGCCCCCGCAAGGACCCCGGTACAAGAACACGAGTAACACATGACGAGGTGACTTAGAATGTCAGAATATTATCTTATGTTCTAGCCTGTAGTGGGGTGCTCTATAGCGAGTACAACCCTTCTAGGGTTTGCTATTTGTATCCTCATTCTTGCTAGTTCAATCCTCTTTCTTCTTCTAACTTTTGTCA